CATCAACAGCTTATCTAGGTCAAAGGTCGAAGGCTTATTTCCCGTTCATTCATTGGTCGATGTGTAGCTGTGCTACACGATCTCTGCACGACAACAATGTTGTGTGTTTGTGTAGATGTGTAGCCAGCTCGAATCAAATTGCATCTAAAAAGTAAAAAAAAATATATTTGAATACATTTTATTATTCCGTTTTCTTGGAAATTTAAACAATCTAATTTTTTTAGCGCAGAGGGATTTCCCCGTAATACATTGCGCTGTGTGATTGGTTACAACTGTGGCCTGTGTCTGGAAAGCAGACGACATTACTTGTACACAAGGCTGCGCTACTCATTATGGTTTTACGAGAAAACTCAAACTTAGGCTGTAGCTTATGTGTGGAAATGTGGAGATTTCTATGAGGAATCATCTGTCTACGTTAGATCTAACAAGTAAGTAGATCTAGTTTACAATGACGTCAGTACTACATCCAAACGAGCAGATCTACTAGGCTATATATAGTATGTGTAGTTGATAGATCGATACTTATCGATTAGCTCGCTTCATGTTGAACTCTAATGGCAGAAATCGCCGTTTAGAAAATAGGTTATTATATGATATCAGTGAAAACTGTAACACTTTGTAATTAATTATTCTACTAAAAATAATACTATAAATATCTATGTAGGTAGCGTGGCCGAGCGGTCTAAGGCGCTGGTTTAAGGCACCAGTCTCTTCGGAGGCGTGGGTTCGAATCCCACCGCTGCCATTTTTGTAGAGTTGGGAAAAGATGTATCATGTATAGTGTGCACGTATATTTCAATATGTTTGCATGTATGGATCATTTGCATAAAAGCAAAATTTTGAAACTAGAACTAGTGGTTCTCGTAAAACGTTGTATCGTGTTTTCCATACTTATTTAACGGTTTTAAGATTTTGGTTTCGGGTCAGTAAAAGCTAAGGTCACGATTAAAATAAGGGTCTGCACTAATCCTAGCGAAGGTTTCTTTCATGCACTCCCGCCCACCGCCCATGGTTGAAATAGAAAAATATTTTTTTTTAAAATTTAAATAGGAAATATATACGCACCCTACTTTATTTATATTAACAGCAAACTGAAGCAGTCGCCATTTTGATTCCCATTTCTACTTTGTTTATATCAACAGCTGACTGTATTAGCCGCCATTTTGGCTCCTATTTCTACTTTGTTTATATCAACAACTGACTGAAGTGGCCGCCATTATGGCTCAGATTTCTACTTTGTTTACATCAACAGCTGATTGTATTAGCCGCCATTATGGCCACTGCGGCTCCTGATGAGCGTTGGAAGAGCCACAACAAGCAGGTCCTGGCTCAGGTCAAGCTCGGTGACCTACTGGAGTTTAAGAGATTGATGTACTCACACTGGGCGGTTTATACAGGTAGGTTTGTGTTTACTGGTAGGTTGTTACAGGTAGGTTTGTGTTTAGTGGGAGGTTGTTTCTGGTAGGTTTGTGTTTGTTGGGGGTTGTTACAGGTAGGTTTGTGTTTACTGGGAGGTTGTTACAGGTAAGGTTTGTGTTTACTGGGAGGTTGTTACAGGTAGGTTTGTGTTTACTGGGAGGTTGTTACATGTAGATTGTGTTTAAGGGAGGATGTTACAGGTAAGTTTGTGTTTACTAAGAGGTTTTTTAGAGGTAGGTTTGTGTTTATTGGGAGGTTTGTTACAGGTAGTTTGTGTTTGTTGGGAGGGTTTTACAGGTAGGTTTGTGTTTACTGGGAGGTTTTTTACAGGTAGGTTTGTGTTTACTTGGAGGTTGTTACGGGTAGGTTTGTGTTTATTGGTAGGTTGTTACAGGTAGGTTTGTGTTTATTGGTAGGTTGTTACAGGTAGGTTGTGTTTAAGGGAGGATGTTACAGGTAAGTTTGTGTTTACTGAGAGGTTGTTACATGTAGGTTTGTGTAAAATAGGAGGTTGTTACAGGTAGGTTTGTGTTTACTAAGAGGTTATTTTGAGGTAGGTTTGTGTTTATTGGGAGGTTGTTACAGGTAGGTTTGTGTTTATTGGGAGGTTGATACAGGTAGGTTTGTGTTTATTGGGAGGTTGTTACAGGTAGGTTTGTTTACTGGGAGGTAGATTTGTGTTTAATGGTAGGATGCTTCAGTAGGTTTGAGCTCACAGGTCGTTACAGGTAATGTCTTCACATACACACTGTTATTGGGATACTCACAACGTAGGTTGGCGTACTCATTTCGATATGCATAGTAAATGTCCAAACTTGAGAAGTAATATTAATTGCTACAATTCATTTTAAAAATGTACTTATAATAATAATCATTAAAAAAGTTTTTAAAAACCCACGTTTTCTGATTGAACTAAAAAGTAGAAAATAAATGTTATACATCACAATAATGCAAGCGATCACTCTACTATAAGCGATCAAAAACGTGGGGCGCCGTGATTTTCTTACAGTTTCTAATACTGTTGACTCTCTACAAGCTCCCTAATAAAAGTCAATAGTATTAGAAACTGTAAGAAAATCACGGCGCCCCACGTTTTTGATCGCTTATAGTAGAGTGATCGCTTGCATTATTGTGATGTATAACATTTATTTTCTACTTTTTAGTTCAATCAGAAAACGTGGGTTTTTAAAAACTTTTTTAATGATTATTATTTTCTACTTTTTAGTCTTTGTCTGTTTGTTTGCATTAAAATCTCGTAAAAGTTGTATAGCATTAAAGTCTCGTAAAAAGACAACTCGTAAAAAACACGTTGTGTGAATACGTTGCTGACTAGAACACATAGATTTGAACCCGCGCCGAGTGGGATAGCAATCGTGTGCCCAACCACTCGACCATATCGTCTCCCCCATACTGGCCACCAGTTGTTACGTTCTGGTTGTTTGTACACAAACACTGCGTGAACACTAGTCAGTAAGCAAAAAGAGGGAGAGTCCCGAACCTTGTTTTCATCAAATTACAGTTACTGGGTTATGTCCCTTTTCCCCCACGTTTTTGTACAATTATATAGCGGCCTAAAATGATCAATAAAATGTTTCCATGGATCAATTTAGTAATAATAACAATTGAATATTTTATGGTCATCGGAAACAAAGCTTCCCTGAAAATTTCAGCGCGCTAGCTAACCGGGAAGTGCCCGAAATTTCGATCGCAAGATTTGATTGGAGAACCAAACAGACGCGAAAGCAAGTTAAAGAAAACATGGGAAAATGCAATAGTGTGACCTTACACTTTTTAAAAATCCCCCCCCCCCCCATTGACGTCACTTATTGCCACATGTCTTAACCACACCCGCACACAGACTAACAATATAGATAGTATTCCTTAATGGACGACCCCCCTCCCCCCAGACACCTCCCATCTAACACATCTTATCCCAACATGCCTCAGGTATATGTACGACTCCCCCCCCCCCCCACAAGGCCCCACCCATCTAACCTCCCGGCATACCCCAGGTAAAGACCAGGTGACCCACTTCGCCACCAAGTCCGGAGATTTCAATGCCAGCGAGGTACCAGAGATCAGGGTCGATGACGTACACAAGGTCACGGGCACCAGTCAGGTCCTGGTCAACAACGCTTTGGACAAGGAGCTCAGGTAAGTGTCACATGTCACATGTCACAGGTCACAGGTCACGTGTTACATGTCACATGTTACATGTCACATGTCACGTCCAGGTATTATCATGTACACGCTGATGTAAACGTCACTCTCTAGTTGATGACATGCATTATGTTTCAGTTATACTTGTAAGAAGGCCGATAAGAAGCGTGGACATTATATTTCTGGTACTGCTACCCTAGCCATAACCTGATTACTAAATCTCAGAGCTTTAGCAAAAACAGCAACAACAAAAAAAGCTAGATTGTCCTATCGGCGTTCTTACAAAACAATTTTTTTTTCAGATTTCTTGCAGACCGCATGCGGCCCGCGGGTCGACGGGTTGTTAGCCCTTGATATATTTCAGCTTAGATTTTCTTTTCTTCTAAATTTTGACATGAACTAAAACTGGTTATTTTTAAACTTAAAAAAAAGTTTTCTTCAAAAATTGACGGCCCATGATTACAGACGAAGTAGAGTTTATTAATTTGTTTCTTCTCCACCTACAGTCCGCATTATGCCAAGCCGTCTTTACCCCCCCCCTACCCCGTATTGCCAGGTACTTGCCAGAGCTGAGTCGGCTCACTTGATGCGGCCAGGGAGAAATCTAAATTACTATTTATTTTTTTATGTAAAAACTCCGATAGGGCAATCTAGAATTTTTTGTTTGCTAAAACTCTTTGGTTTAGAGTTAGTCAATCTGGATCCGAACTCAGGACTTTTGGGTGCTGTATCACCCTCCTGTCTAATACTTTTCCTCCCGGCAGTGGCGTAGGCAGGGGGGTTAGGGGGGGGGGGTCATAACCCCCCACCATAGACCCCTCAGTATATATATATATATATATATATATATATATATATATATATATATATATATATATATATATATATATATATATATATATATATATATATATATATATATATATATATATATATATATATAAGTATAAAGTATGAGGGGGGTGTAAATCGAAAGTTTGAGGGGGGGGGGGGTGCAAATCGAAAGTTTGAGGGGGGGGGGGGGGAGGGTGCAAATCGAAAGTTTGAGGGGGGGGGTGCAAATCAAAAAGTTGTCCCCGGGTAAAAATTTGAAACCCCCACCCACCCCCCCACCCCACCCCATGAAATGATCCTGGCTACGCCAATGCCTCCAGGTATACCTCTGGTATATGGACGGCCCAATGTTAGGTGAATATTTAAAATCCATTCCACAGTCCGCTGCCAGTTAAAGATATTCTTGAGAACGCCAAGAGTAAGCTCGGGTCAAGGGGTTACGACCTTGTCTTTAGCAACTGTGAGCACTTCGCTACCTGGTGTAGGTACGGCAAGGCTAGGTCACTACAGGTGAGGGTACAGGTGTGTGGGGGGAGGGGCTGGGGGGGGAGACTGGTGTAGGTACGGCAAGGCTAGGTCATTACAGGTGAGGGTACAGGTGTGGGGGGGGGGGGGGTAGAGACTGGTGTAGGTACGGCAAGGCTAGGTCACTACAGGTGAGGATGGCATCAGGGTACAGGTGTGTGTGTGGGGGGGGGGGTAGAGACTGGTGTAGGTACGGCAAGGCTAGGTCACTACAGGTGAGGGTACAGGTGTGTGTGGGGGGTAGAGACTGGTGTAGGTACGGCAAGGCTAGGTCACTACAGGTGAGGGTACAGGTGTGGGGGGAGGGTAGAGACTGGTGTAGGTACGGCAAGGCTAGGTCACTACAGGTGAGGGTACAGGTGTGTGGGGGGGGGGTAGAGACTGGTGTAGGTACGGCAAGGCTAGGTCACTACAGGTGAGGGTACAGGTGTGGGGGGGGGGGGGGTAGAGACTGGTGTAGGTACGGCAAGGCTAGGTCACTACAGGTGAGGGTACAGGTGTGTGGGGGGTAGAGACTGGTGTAGGTACGGCAAGGCTAGGTCACTACAGGTGAGGGTACAGGTGTGGGGGGGTAGAGACTGGTGTAGGTACGGCAAGGCTAGGTCACTACAGGTGAGGGTAAAGGTGTTGGGGGGTAGAGACTAGTGTAGGTACGGCAAGGCTAGGTCACTACAGGTGAGGGTACAGGTGTGGGGGGGGGTAGAGACTGGTGTAGGTACGGCAAGGCTAGGTCACTACAGGTGAGGATGGCATCAGGGTACAGGTGGTGGGGGGGTAGAGACTGGTGTAGGTACGGCAAGGCTAGGTCACTACAGGTGAGGGTACAGGTGGGGGGGGGGGGTAGAGACTGGTGTAGGTACTGCAAGGCTAGGTCACTACAGGTAAGGGTACAGGTGTGGGGGGGGGGGGGGTAGAGACTGGTGTAGGTACGGCAAGGCTAGGTCACTACAGGTGAGGGTACAGGTGTGTGAGGGGGGGTAGAGACTGGTGTAGGTACGGCAAGGCTAGGTCACTACAGGTGAGGGTACAGGTGTGGGGGGGGGGGGGGTAGAGACTGGTGTAGGTACGGCAAGGCTAGGTCACTACAGGTGAGGATGGCATCAGGGTACAGGTGTGGGGGGTAGAGACTGGTGTAGGTACGGCAAGGCTAGGTCACTACAGGTGAGGGTACAGGTGTGGGGGGGGGGGGTAGAGACTGGTGTAGGTACGGCAAGGCTAGGTCACTACAGGTGAGGGTACAGGTGTGTGTGTGGGGGGGGGGGGTAGAGACTGGTGTAGGTACGGCAAGGCTAGGTCACTACAGGTGAGGGTACAGGTGTGGGGGGGGGGGTAGAGACTGGTGTAGGTACGGCAAGGCTAGGTCACTACAGGTGAGGGTACAGGTGTGGGGGGGGGGGTAGAGACTGGTGTAGGTACGGCAAGGCTAGGTCACTACAGGTGAGGGTACAGGTGTGGGGGGTAGAGACTGGTGTAGGTACGGCAAGGCTAGGTCACTACAGGTGATGATACAGGTGTGGGGGGGGGGGGTAGGGGTAGAGACTGGTGTAGGTACGGCAAGGCTAGGTCACTACAGGTGAGGGTACAGGTGGGGGGGGGTAGAGACTGGTGTAGGTACGGCAAGGCTAGGTCACTACAGGTGAGGGTACAGGTGTGGGGGGGGGGGGGGGGTAGAGACTGGTGTAGGTACGGCAAGGCTAGGTCACTACAGGTGAGGGTACAGGTGTGGTGGGGGGGGGGGGTAGAGACTGCTGTAGGTACGGCAAGGCTAGGTCACTACAGGTGAGGGTACAGGTGTGTGAGGGGGGGGGGGTAGAGACTGGTGTAGGTACGGCAAGGCTAGGTCACTACAGGTGAGGGTACAGGTGTGGCGGGGGGGTAGAGACTGGTGTAGGTACGGCAAGGCTAGGTCACTACAGGTGAGGATGGCATCAGGGTACAGGTGTGGGGGGGTAGAGACTGGTGTAGGTACGGCAAAGCTAGGTCACTACAGGTGAGGGTACAGGTGTGTGGGGGGGGTAGAGACTGGTGTAGGTACGGCAAGGCTAGGTCACTACAGGTGAGGGTACAGGTTTGTGGGGGGGGGGGGGGGTAGAGACTGTTGTAGGTACGGCAAGGCTAGGTCACTACAGGTGAGGATGGCATCAGTGTACAGGTGTGGGGGGGGGGTAGAGACTGGTGTAGGTACGGCAAAGCTAGGTCACTACAGGTGAGGGTACAGGTGTGTGGGGGGGGGGTAGAGACTGGTGTAGGTACGGCAAGGCTAGGTCACTACAGGTGAGGGTACAGGTGTGTGGGGGGGGGAGAGACTGGTGTAGGTACGGCAAGGCTAGGTCACTACAGGTGAGGGTACAGGTGTGGGGGGTAGAGACTGGTGTAGGTACGGCAAGGCTAGGTCACTACAGGTGAGGGTACAGGTGTGGAGGGGGGTAGAGACTGGTGTAGGTACGGCAAGGCTAGGTCACTACAGGTGAGGGTACAGGTGTGGGGGGGGGGGGGTAGAGACTGGTGTAGGTACGGCAAGGCTAGGTCACTACAGGTGATGATACAGGTGTGGGGGGGGGGGGTAGAGACTGGTGTAGGTACGGTAAGGCTAGGTCACTACAGGTGAGGGTACAGGTGTGGGGGGGGGGGGGGTAGAGACTGGTGTAGGTACGGCAAGGCTAGGTCACTACAGGTGAGGATGGCATCAGGGTACAGGTGTGGGGGGGTAGAGACTGGTGTAGGTACGGCAAGGCTAGGTCACTACAGGTGAGGGTACAGGTGTGGGGGGGGGGGGTAGAGACTGGTGTAGGTACGTGAAGGCTAGTCACTACAGGTGAGGGTACAGGTGGGGGGGGTAGAGACTGGTGTAGGTACGTCAAGGCTAGGTCACTACAGGTGAGGGTACAGGTGTGGGGGGGGGGTAGAGACTGGTGTAGGTACGTCAAGGCTAGTCACTACAGGTGAGGGTACAGGTGTGTGGGGTAGAGACTGGTGTAGGTACGGCAAGGCTAGGTCACTACAGGTGAGGGTACAGGTGTGGGGGGGGTAGAGAATGGTGTAGGTACGGCAAGGCTAGGTCACTACAGGTGAGCTTGGCATCAGGGTACAGGTGTGGGGGGGGGGTAGAGACTGGTGTAGGTACGGCAAGGCTAGGTCACTACAGGTGAGGGTACAGGTGGGGGGGGTAGAGACTGGTGTAGGTACGGCAAGGCTAGGTCACTACAGGTGAGGGTACAGGTGTGGGGGGGGGGGGTAGAGACTGGTGTAGGTACGGCAAGGCTAGGTCACTACAGGTGAGGATGGCATCAGGGTACAGGTGTGGGGGGAGGGGGTAGAGGTTGGTCAAAGTACGCACTATTGGGCAATGTTTTACATGGAGGGGGGTAGAGACTGGTCAAGGTATGCGCTATTAATCAATGTTGTACATAGATAGTAGAGGCTAGTCAAGATACGCGCCTATCGTTTGACCGGGGTACAATTCCAACTAACTTAATTGACCAGTCCACATTTTGACTACATGAAACAGCTCTCGATAAAGTAATTGAAAACTTTTTTTTTCTTACAGTCGGACAAAAGTCTGGAGTTTGGAAAAAAAGTTGGCTCAGCTTTTAAAGACGCCGTTGCCAAATATGTTGCGAGTTCTAAAACTCCCCAGGTGAGTAACTATTTACTGAAACCTTCAATAATTTTTTAACCTTTAAAAATGCCCTTTAAGCGATTAATGAACCAGTCACAATACAATTAATGAACCAGTCACAATACAATTAATGAACCAGTCACAATACAATTAATGAAACAGTCACAATTCAATTAATGAACCAGTCACATTACAATTAATGAACCAGTCACAATACAATTAATGAACCAGTCACATTACAATTAATGAACCAGTCACAATACAATTAATGAACCAGTCACAATACAATTAATGAACCAGTCACAATACAATTAATGAAACAGTCACAATTCAATTAATGAACCAGTCACATTACAATTAATGAACCAGTCACAATACAATTAATGAACCAGTCACATTACAATTAATGAACCAGTCACAATACAATTAATGAACCAGTCACAATACAATTAATAAACCAGTCACAATACAATTAATGAACCAGTCACATTACAATTAATGAACCAGTCACAATACAATTAATGAACCAGTCACATTACAATTAATGAACCAGTCACAATACAATTAATAAACCAGTCACAATACAATTAATGAACCAGTCACATTACAATTAATGAACCAGTCACAATACAATTAATGAACCAGTCACATTACAATTAATGAACCAGTCACAATACAATTAATGAACCAGTCACAATACAATTAATAAACCAGTCACAATACAATTAATGAACCAGTCACAATACAATTAATGAACCAGTCACAATACAATTAATGAACCAGTCACAATACAATTAATGAACCAGTCACAATACAATTAATGAACCAGTCACAATACAATTAATGAACCAGTCACAATACAATTAATGAACCAGTCACAATACAATTAATGAACCAGTCACAATACAATTAATGAACCAGTCACATTACAATTAATGAACCAGTCACAATACAATTAATGAACCAGTCACAATACAATTAATAAACCAGTCACAATACAATTAATGAACCAGTCACATTACAATTAATGAACCAGTCACAATACAATTAATGAACCAGTCACATTACAATTAATGAACCAGTCACAATACAATTAATGAACCAGTCACAATACAATTAATAAACCAGTCACAATACAATTAATGAACCAGTCACAATACAATTAATGAACCAGTCACAACCCCCTTACAATAAATGAACCAGTCACAATACAATTAATGAACCAGTCACAATACAATTAATGAACCAGTCACAATACAATTAATGAACCAGTCACAATACAATTAATGAACTAGTCACATTACAATTAATGAACCAGTCACATTACAATTAATGAACCAGTCACAATACAATTAATGAACCAGTCACATTACAATTAATGAACCAGTCACAATACAATTAATGAACCAGTCACAATACAATTAATGAACCAGTCACAATTCAATTAATGAACCAGTCACAATACAATTAATGAACCAGTCACAATACAATTAATGAACCAGTCACAATACAATTAATGAACCAGTCACATTACAATTAATGAACCAGTCACAATACAATTAATGAACCAGTCACAATACAATTAATAAACCAGTCACAATACAATTAATGAACCAGTCACATTACAATTAATGAACCAGTCACAATACAATTAATGAACCAGTCACATTACAATTAATGAACCAGTCACAATACAATTAATGAACCAGTCACAATACAATTAATAAACCAGTCACAATACAATTAATGAACCAGTCACAATACAATTAATGAACCAGTCACATTACAATTAATGAACCAGTCACAATACAATTAATGAACCAGTCACAATACAATTAATGAACCAGTCACAATTCAATTAATGAACCAGTCACAATACAATTAATGAACCAGTCACAATACAATTAATGAACCAGTCACAATACAATTAATGAACCAGTCACATTACAATTAATGAACCAGTCACAATACAATTAATGAACCAGTCACAATACAATTAATAAACCAGTCACAATACAATTAATGAACCAGTCACATTACAATTAATGAACCAGTCACAATACAATTAATGAACCAGTCACATTACAATTAATGAACCAGTCACAATACAATTAATGAACCAGTCACAATACAATTAATAAACCAGTCACAATACAATTAATGAACCAGTCACAATACAATTAATGAACCAGTCACAATACAATTAATGAACCAGTCACAATACAATTAATGAACCAGTCACAATACAATTAATGAACCAGTCACAATACAATTAATGAACCAGTCACAATACAATTAATGAACCAGTCACAATACAATTAATGAACCAGTCACATTACAATTAATGAACCAGTCACAATACAATTAATGAACCAGTCACAATACAATTAATAAACCAGTCACAATACAATAAATGAACCAGTCACATTACAATTAATGAACCAGTCACAATACAAATAATGAACCAGTCACAATACAATTAATGAACCAGTCACAATACAATTAATAAACCAGTCACAATACAATTAATGAACCAGTCACAATACAATTAATGAACCAGTCACAACGCCCTTACAATAAATGAACCAGTCACAATACAATTAATGAACCAGTCACAATACAATTAATGAACCAGTCACAATACAATTAATGAACCAGTCACAATACAATTAATGAACCAGTCACAATACAATTAATGAACCAGTCACAATACAATTAATGAACCAGTCACAATACAATTAATGAACCAGTCACAATACCCTTACAATTAATGAACCAGTCACATTACAATTAATGAACCAGTCACAATGCCCTTACAATTAATGTACCAGCCACAATGCCCTTACAATTAATGAACCAGTCACAATGCCCTTACAATTAATGAACCAATCACAATGCCCTTACAATTAATGAACCAGTCACAGTGCCCTTACAATTAATGTACCAGCCACAATGCCCTTACAATTAATGAACCAGTCACAATGCCCTTACAATTAATGAACCAATCACAATGCCCTTACAATTAACGAACCAGTCACAATGCCCTTACAATTAATGAACCAGTCACAATGCCCTTACAATTAATGAACCAATCACAATGCCCTTACAAAAAATGAACCAGTCACAATACCCTTACAATTAACGAACCAGTCATAATACCATCACATCACAATCTGCTCCACCTACCCAATCGTGTCACCCACCGTCTACCCTCTGATAACGAGGCACCCATTTGACCTCCAGGGAAAACAAGCAGCTGAGGCCGTGCTGACCTTTTGTGATGCCGTGTCCAATTCTCTCAACTCTCACATAGAGAGAAAGAGAAACGAAGAGGTGAGAGAAGGTTTTTCTCTGCTAACTCTACTTTACAACCGTTCACATTTCTCTTCTATGCAACTTCTTAGAATAACGCGGGCCGATAACTGTTAGTTTAGGATTTAGAATAACGCAGGCCGATAACTCTGTTAGTTTTTAGAATAAAATTGACGGACAACCCTGTCATTAAAAGGGGGAAAAAAGTAACGAATTTAAACCTTCTCTATTAGTTTTTTGTTCTTTCTTTTTAGTTTATATTGAGAATTGATTTCTGAACTAAAATAATAGTATTGCCTTGAATTACGCAGGTCTAAGCTGTTGTTGCCGCAGAGGCGTAGCGAGGGGGGGGGGGGGGTCGGGTACATATGTCCCCGGGCGCCGACCTTGGGGGCGCCAAAATGGGTTGAAAAAAATATAATAGCTCATTTTAGTTGCAGTTTTGAATTATAAATATAAATATATGGGGGGGGGGGGGCAAATTGAAAGTGCGTCCCCGGGCGCCGGTAGTGGTCGCTACGCCTCTGTGTTGCCGCACCCACACATTTTTTAAAAGGCCATATCTTAGCCCCTAATGAAGCTGGAGACATAAAACTGATATCAATGTGTTGGGACAAATTTTTGTTAATTTTAAATTAGTGGAGTTTAAAAACTACGTGCAACAACCTAACAATAGTTACAACTTAAACAAGGGTGCAGAAATATTTAGTGTAAAACGGTTTCTGACGGGCATCATGTGATCTGACTTAGTTTTTGTTGTTTTATTTACAGCTCTCCAACCTCAAACAACAGCCAAAACCATGACATGACTGACAAAGGTCATAACTGTCACACGTCATAACTGCCACATGTCATCTCCAGTGTTTCTTCCAGATTTTTTTCTCCGGGGGGGGGGGGGTGACGGACACTGTTAAAAGTATATATTTTCTATACACATTTCATTTCGCTCGGGGGAGGGGGGGGCGGTAGAAGAGATGCATGAAAGAAACTCTTGTCATCTCATGACACTAATGTCAGAGCTGACTGACTTAAATGTCATATTGTAGCCTAACGCTACTTTAGGTTGAAGTACAAAATGTCATATTTGACCACTACATTAACAAATGCCATGTTTGACCACTACACTACAAAATGTCATGTTTGACCACTACACTACAAAATGTCATGTTTGACCACTACACTACAAAATGTCATGTTTGACCAGTACACTACAAAATGTCATGTTTGACTACTAAACTACAAGATGTCATATTTAACCACTACACTACAAAATGTCAAGTTTGACCACTACACTACAAAACGTCAAGTTTGACCACTACACTACAAAACGTCAAGTTTGACCACTACACTACAAAACGTCAAGTTTGACCACTACACTACAAAATGTTATTTTCGACAACTACACTACAAAATGTCAAGTTTGACCACTACACTACAAAATGTCAAGTTTGACAACTACACTACAAAATGTCAAGTTTGACCACTACCCTTCAAAATGTCAAGTTTGACCACTACACTACAAAACGTCAAGTTTGACCACTACACTACAAAATGTCAAGTTTGACCACTACACTACAAAATGTCAAGTTTGACCACTACACTACAAAATGTCAAGTTTGACCACTACACTACAAAATGTCAAGTTTAACCACTACACTACAAAATGTCAAGTTTAACCACTACACTACAAAATGTCAAGTTTGACCACTACACTACAAAATGTCAAGTTTGACCACTACACTACAAAATGTCAAGTTTGACCACTACACTACAAAATGTCAAGTTTAACCACTACACTACAAAATGTCAAGTTTGACCACTACACTACAAAATGTCAAGTTTGACCACTACACTACAAAATGTCAAGTTTGACCACTACACTACAAAATGTTATTTTCGACAACTACACTACAAAATGTCAAGTTTGACCACTACACTACAAAATGTCAAGTTTGACCACTACACTACAAAATGTCAAGTTTGACCACTACACTACAAAATGTCAAGTTCGACCACTACACTACAAAATGTTATTTTCGACAACTACACTACAAAATGTCAAGTTTGACCACTACACTACAAAATGTCATGTATGTAACACACTGATGTTAGATTATGTACATTCCTTTGTTTACTTACCAAACACGACCAACATTCAACGTAGACATTCACTGTTGATATACTCATGCCATACATACTCAGTACCACCGATGTTTGATGTAAAATCTATTGGCATTGCTTTACATTGTTTGAATAAAATGTGTTACAATCCTAATATTTAATTTATCAAATAAAAAACAACTAAAAACAGATGCGCAGTTTAGTTTAGACAAATAATGGTAGGGGGGGGGGGGGGGGGCAGTGCCGGCGCCAGGTTATTTAGCGCCCTAGGCAAAACTTATTAAAAGCGCCCCCCCCCCCCCACCGCAATTTTTTTCGTGACCCCGTATTATCAGAGGCTTAGCGACCATTCCCGGCGCCCGGGGACAAATTTTCGATTTGCACCCCACCCTCAAACTTTCGATTTGCACCCCCCTTAAACTTTCAATTTGCTTTCCAACCCATTTTGGCGCCCCCTCCCTACGGTCAGCGCCCTAGGCGACCGCCTAGTTCGCCTTATAGGTATGCCGGCCCTAGGGGGGGGGGAGGATTTTTTTAAAGACGCCCCTTCCCATCCCTCCACCTGGAGAAATGCGATCCGTAGAAGACGTTACGTTACTTTAATCGCCCGACAGTCCCGCAGCGCTGTAACATACACTCCAAACTTGTAAAACAATTTGTCGACCCCCCCCCCCTTCCTTCCTCACAGGCGTAGTAACCCATTCCGGCGCCCGGGTCGAAATATCAATTTTGCTCCTCCCCCCTCCTTTTATTTTATAGCCTGTTTAGTTATTCACGTTGAAAAAGCACCCCCCACTCCCTGGAGTGGTCTGGCGGTAGAAAGTTGGACTGCTAACCCGTAAGTCTCGAGTTCGAATCCGGGTTCAATTCAGTAGACCGTCCCTGAGTCCACCCAACTCTGATGGGTACCTGACTCACGTTAGGGAAAGTAAAGGCGGCTGGGTAAAGTGCTGACCACACTATCTCTTTATATGCCGAGGTCACAGAAACAAGTGAACTCTACTTCACTTGCCCCATAGACCGCCAGGTTTGAAAAGGAAACTTTACTTTTTACCCCTCCCTTTCGGAAAGATCGGAGGCTCGTTTGACCAGTATCTATCTATTAACATTGTGCATTTTTTAAATCACACAATTGATGTAGAAAACAATTTAAATACAAGTCCGTAAAGAGAAGATCTAGTCTATATGCCCCACTTTGACAGTATAATTCAGTCCATAAAAGACAAGATTCAGTCTATTTTCCTCACTTCCAATAAGTATAATTCAGAAACGAAGATCAGAATTAGCTTTAAAAATTTTCCACCCCGTTTGGCGCCCGCCTAGGTGCACAGGCGTAGCGACCCTTCCCGGCGCCCGGGGACAAACTTTTCGATTTGCACCCCCCTCAAACTTTCAATTTGCACCCCCCTCAACCTTTCAATTTATTTTTCCAACCCATTTTGGCGCCCCCTAAGGTCGGCGCCCGGGGACATATGTCTCCGCCCGCCCTCCCCCCGCCCCCTCGCTACGCTACTGCCTAGGTGGAGTCTTCGGGGAGACTGCCCTACCAGCCCTCCCCTAGCCACGCCTCTGCCCTCCCTCCGAAGCCAAATTACGTAATTGTAACATATTAAGTACAGTCTTGCCTGTTTTGTATTTATTCACACCACGTTTACACTTGCGACATGTATACTCTACATGTCTAGAAAAAAAAAACAACTAGCAGCAAGTAGGTATACATGTTCTGTGGGACATTGTTTACTCTTGTT